GGTCATATAGAAAACATATACAGGCTGAAAAAAAAATGGGACATGTAGGGGAAGTAATTTAAATGCTTAAGATAGCTAATTTTACCTAAAGGAAACATTGTTTTCTTTTTTCTTAATATGAATAACTGCATGATACACATATTACTGCTTGACAACAAAAATAGATAAGTTGACAATAGCTCCCTGGTAAAACTCTTTTAACAAGAATTATACTGTTACTTCTTTTACCGAAGAAGACGGGTGGTATATTAATGATATAAAAACGGAGTGTTCTAGTCGACTGAAAGAGAAAAGTTCCCACATACACTCTCCGAAATGTATTCGATAGAAAACCGAGGCTAGGCTTGACTTTTCTGTGGTGGTCGACATTACATCACATCAAGCGACAAGACGAAAAGAAATAAAAAATAAAATAAATAATTCTAGTCACCATGTATTTTTATTTTTAAGAGGCTAGTATATATTTATGATATCAAGTTACGGGACAAACAAGTCGTGTGCCTGATGGTAAGCGACGCGCCTATCCATGACAGTTGCAATGTCACTCAGAGTTGTAAATCGCAAAGATCTGAGGGGCACTGCCACTGCGCTCGCCACCCTAAAAGATAAATTGACAAGACCCATATGTCTGGAATTTCACGAGCACATTTACACTTCAAAACCGGAACGCAGCAATGAACTCATTTACACGGAGCTCTAGGGCGACTACTTTATAATTTATTTATTTATTAGATTTACCAAAGTCTGTGTGCAATCTTATTATAACTTTACAAGCAATCGAATTGCCACTAACACTTAGGTAAACACAATATCCATTAAAACTTAACCATGTCTAACTAAAATTAAAAAAAAAACACGTAGAGTCTTATCACTTGAAAGCGATGCAACATAGCGCGGTATGCACGCAGCGACAACGTCGCAGTCAAATCGCCAGTGTGATAAGGTCCTTACAATATTGATAAATAAGAATATGATTAGAAATGGATGCGTACACTGCTTTTATTACGAATGCAATAAATTAAGCCACGGAACGAACCAGCGCAACTCACGAATTTTTCTATGTGCTTCGGGATCTTTGTATTTGGTTTTCAACGACTTTTTAGCATTGACTTACAAATAAATGGACGACGGGTCTAATACAAAAACCACGAAAAAAATGTCCCAAGTCAACCTATTTAAACGTAGTGACATGTAAAGGAATATGAAAAGGCTAAAACGTTGAATTTAAATTGTAATGTCATCGCAGTACTGTCTAATTTTGCTTGCTTCGCTGTCAGTCGAACAAACGAAGACTAAAGCGTGAATGACGCTCTGTATACGATTTTAACGCCCTATAAGTTCGGAAACTTTTTAGCGCGGACCCGACGTCCATATAATTGTAAGTCAATGCTTTTTAGTTAGTTTTTAAATTAAGAACTTTTTACATTCCCTGAGAGGCGATTCGTGGTGAATACCAAAAATGTCACTGTAATAGTTTTTTTATTTATTTTATTTAATAGGTAAACAAATAACACTTCCAATCGTCGCATTGATTAAACTCTGCTACTAATTCATAAGACAGATTCCCCCGATTTTTATTATTATATTATATTTATTGATTACTCACTTTACCCCTATTATTATACTACTTATTAAATGAGTAAAAATTCATTTTCTAAACACAATAAAACCATTCTGCCATACTACCACCATCGACTTCGATTTCCACCTTCGCTTACCACCTGCATGACTTCAAAACCCGTCACTTGGTATCATAAAAAAAAATTGAAAAAAAGATATTTAAAAATACCCTCTACGGTAAAATGGGGAGTCAGCTATCACGGTAAAATTTGCACAAAATTAAAACGATGTTTCCAATTTGTAAAACTAATTAAATGTTTAATTATATTACAAAGCGCTTCAGGTTTATTTTAATCTTTTGTTCAATTGTATAGGGTCCGTTAGTTAACCATCGAAAAGTTAATTTTAAATTGTATTAGAAAATCGAAACCTTAACAGTCGTCTAAAATCAAACGAAGTTTTTAATCAACCTGTCGATCTGCTTCGTAATCTGTCGTATAACGATAAACAAGTATCTCGCCGTGTGTTTGTGAAATTGATTTAGTAACAGTAAGGTTCTTTGTGAAAGAGTTTGTCCAGGGAAATACTGCAACGTTAGCTATTTCTGCCGCCAAGCATTAATGTGAGCATTACTGTAAAGGCGCTGGTGATATACAGGCACATGGGACTTGTCAACTTATGTCTCAGGGCAACGAGGGCAGTAGCAGTGCCCCTCAAATGCGATTTGAAGCTCTGAACGGCAATGCAACTGTAATATAACACTTATGTAATAGATATACCACCCATTCTACGTTTGTCTTCAACTTCCATGCAGCGTGTGATACGTTACTTTGCCACGTTGTACGTATTAATGCTAATAACAGCGAAAGTGGAGGGAAAAGGGTCTAGAGACAAAAATCCCAAACGACGGTCAGATCACATCTCCCAACTGTAGCTACCTGTCAGCCCCGCACTCTACCAGACGACTGAATGCAACCAACGAAGACAGATGATTGGCAGGATAACCTGTCACAAACTCGAATTACTTTTTCCGAAATGACGTTTGTTCGAATTGTCATTACCTCGAAAACCGAATTATAACGAAACCGTTGTTCTTTCAGGATATGTTGAATGTTTATCGCAAAAAAACAGTTATAAATAATAAAAAAATAAAATAAAATACTTTTATTTCGGACAACAAGTTCCATATTTTGTTAGTAATAATAATAATAGAAAAAGAGCTTATAAACTAGTGTTAGCAAATATTTGTACATCATCAATTGGTTAAACCATTGCCTTACGAAGTATTGCCACATGGGAGAGGTGATCCTACCAGCTACAGTTTGCGCATCAGGGATGCTGTCTTTTTTCGGAGGATGGCAGCAAAACCACCCGTCTCATATTCTGTAAACATCCCCGACGCACTGCAACAACGAGGCAGCCCCAACATCATCCTAAAAATATTATTATATTGTACACGTAGGGTCTCCAGCGGCCGTTTGGTGTAATTGACCCATAGGCTCCCGGTGTAGAAATTTTGACAATATGTTTTAAAAAGCGTTATTTTTACTTCCTTATGTTAGTTATGAATGAATGTCATTTCGGACTTCAGATAGATAACCGATTGGCGGAATGAACTAAAGTCGCGATCCTGAGCAGTGAGGGAACCTAGATTGAGAAGAAGAAGACCACTCATTCACACGGAGTGCTGTACTTCCTCCTTCCTTACCATTACCGTCATCTGTGTTTTCCGAACACAACAATTTAGGACTATTCAAGGATAGAGTGAGTAGGCATTTTCTAAACAAACGCGTACCATCATCGTCGATCACAACGTGCGTATATTTTACATAAAAAAGAATGCTACCAGTAGCGAAGTCCATTTATCACGATTTCCATCAGCTTTTATTGAGAAATTGAGTAATATTATCATAACATTTCAACTATATTATGAACGAATGAAACGCCTGATTGTTTTGTCCGACGGAGCAAGTTGCCATCACCCAGTTCCATTGCCATGGTAAAATACTACCTATAGAGCAACTGTCTCTTTCACTCCTGTGTAACGGCCATATTCGAAATTATTTTAATTACACAACCTTTATTGCACGTCAACTCGATTGAGATCAAGTTAGGAAACATTTGATCAAAAGGGAACAGGTGCAAATGAGAAAGGTAGATTGTCTCATCGGAGAGATTGTCTGGTCTCGGTGATAAATAGTCCAAGCTAAATTATTGCTTTTAGATATGAAACTAACACAGTGTGACGTCCTATAATTAGTAATATTATTATGGTATTTAGTTCTGTCGAGAAAATATTAATGGCGACGATTTTATTAACTTATTTAGTATTAATAACAAAGACAACACTTAGAAAAAAATTATTCGATCCGCCTGGATTCGAACCACCACCACCAGCCCTCAGGCAATCCGTGACAGATACTCAAGATAACACTTAGAAAAAAAAAATTCGATCCGGCTGGATTCGAACCACCACCACCAGCCCTCAGGCAATCCGTGACAGATACTCTGCCAATTAAACCACGGAACGGACCTGCACACCTTTGTTTTTGGTTTTTAACGACTTTTTCGCCGTAGCGCCATCTGTGAGAAATTTATTTCTTCACTCAGAGACCTTTATAGCTACCATCTTTAACTAGAGATGTCGCTATAATTGTAATTTTTAAATTTATTGAATGTCACGAGTTTTTACTACAATGATATTCAGTTTGTTACAATTATTAACAAGAAAGATGAAACACCTAGAAAAACACAGTCGATTGACAGTGAAATTATACGAAAAAATAATTTAATTTTTCTTTTATAATATATAAGTGCGCATTTGACGTCCATCTCACCTGATGGAAAGTGACGACGAGATCGACGATGCACACCTAAATAATGCCTATTCACTCTCGCCTTGAAAAGACCCAAGTTATAACGGGAACAAGTCTGCAGGCAGAGAATTCCACTCCATAGCCGTTCGCCTTATACTTGTGGAAGAGTAACGCTTCGCGCGAATCTTTGGAATATCCACAACGTAGGGGTGGAACCCAAGCCTACGCCTAGTCCGCCGGTGATGGAAAGGGGAAGGCGGAATTAAATCGTGTAATTCCATCGCACACTCGTGATACATCCTGTAAAATACCGATAAGCAGGCAACTTTACGGCGGTGTTCAAGGCGCTTCGCCTCCACTAATTCCGAGTCACCAACAGCCTCTTGACACGACTGTTAATTGAATCCAAAGTGAATATCATGGTAGTAAAATGTCGTGACGTTCAATAAACTAAAAAAATGTTAGTATCAGTTTTATTGTTAGGCAAAATCGTTAATTGATATTTTTTTTACTTGACAACAACTTAAAAGTTACTGAATGCAAATGCGGTAGTTATGACAAGGAAGGCGGTATAGACGCCAAATGTACCGATGTAGTAAATGTTTTTTATACTTTCCCACTCACCTTCGTGACCCCTTCAATAAAAGCTCTCGTAGCCAACTCCCCTGGGCCATCAACGGTCTTCCCATCATCATCGGGCCCCCAGGACGCGCTGTAAATGTCCACGTGCTGAGGGTTTAGGCTCAAAGACCGCGCTTCCACCGCGTCCGTGACGTCTCCATCCAGCATTCTTACTCCTGAAACAGAAATATTGTATTTGAATACAATAAGAAAATTCATAACAATATATTGCGCATGCGTATTTACACTCCCGGGCACATTAGCTAATGGATTAACTATTCGTTTTTGGTTTCAACAATGTGTTTTTTATTATTATATTTAAGTCCTTTTAGCCTATGTTATTACTATTTAAGTATAATATTCGGTACTCGTTGTCTATAGTATAGTTTAATTTTTTCCGTATCCTTAACCCTGTAATGACAGTTTGTACCAAAATAAATAAAAAAATTAATAATTCTAGTCACCTTGTATATTTATTTTTAAGGGGCTAGAATATAAAAATATTACATTTTATTAGACAATAAGTTGCCTTAACTGCCTCCGTGGCCGAACGGTTACCATGCCGGACTGCCACGCAGAGGTCCCAGGTTCGATTCCCGGGCCGGGAGAAATATTTGTATGGCCTACATTTATTTCTCTCGTGAGTTTGGGTGTAATTTGTGTAATGTGTGTGTCCATGGCACCCGCGACACAGGGTTTCCCTAGGTGAGCGTTCTTAAAAAAAAAAGTTGAAATATATAGGTAAGGTACAATAAAAGCTTAAATACTACAAAGTAAAACTAGGGTTAAATTATATAAATAAAAAATTGGATCCCCACGGCAAAGTACCCAAGATGCTGGCAGCGTTGCCCTTTGTATGGCTATGCTAATGCGTTGGGCAAGGTAGCCGCCCTTGGGTTTCCCAGACAGTCCATTATTTTTTTGGATAAAATTTTATACAGATGAAGGGCACCGGGACCCCACGGGCTAAAGGTTTCGACTCTAAAGGCTGTAAACAGGTAGTCGGAGCCGAGGTCATGGTACTTTTTAATCTTTCCGCCAGCTTACCTGCGGGGTCATCCCTCTTGCTGGTGTGTTGGAGATGGGATGAGGCAAGTGTGTCAGCACACGTGGCGTCCCGAAATATTACTATTTTTTTGTTATACCTAGTAACGGGACCAACAATTCGTGTGCCTGGTGGTAAGCGACACGCCTGTCGATAACAGTTACAGTGCCACTCAGAGCTTTAAATCACGATCTGAGGGGCACTGCGCCCGTCACCCTGAGCCATAAGTTGACAAGTCCCATGTGCCCGTAAATTCATAAGCACCCTTTTGTTTCCACGATTCCATAGTTTTCCCAATTCAAGTTATTTGACCAATCAAATATAGTCTTACATCCCAAGGATATAACACTATATCTAAAACTAACGTAAAACAAGCTTGAAGAGAACTAAGTAAGCTACTTATAAACATTTGCATTGTAAACAGGAAGCGATAACAACTTAGTAGCTTAGTTCCTAGTGTGTTCTAACAGCTGGAATTCATAATGCAGTTTCGTATTATCATGTCATGAGGACCACAATATTGGTGGTTAAAAATAATTTTATAGAAAAGCCAATTACAGAGGAGGTTATTTCCAAATATGTAACTTTGTTTAATTATCATTGTTTTACCTTTGAAAAAAAAATAGTGACGTAACCTACTCGTCGAAAAGTTAAAGACGTGTGTAGTCCGTCAACCCTCATTGGGCTTTAAAACTTTATTATAGACCACGGGTCTACTACGCACGGGCGTAGCAGATAAACATAATGGGTTGATACAATAAAATCACAATCTACTATCTACGAAAGTTCTACAATGAAATGGACTCACTCATATGGATTCACTCGTAGCGTTGGCTACGGTTCTTAGCCAAATGCTACGAGTAAACCTCTACAAGTACGTTACTGCTGCGTAGAAATACGTCAGCTGAATTATCGGAGCATAGAAGTACACTCTTGAGTGAATTTTTCCTTTAATATATGATAAAGGTATAAACCTTTATCAAGGTTTGTGAACTGTTTTCAACATGCAGGTTACATTACGTTGTTTCCTTTCGCCGTTAGCTATTACTACTAAACATATGTTAGTAACTTCAAATTTCAAGTATTTGAGAACCGTTTCTCCTGTGAGATACCACTAGTTATTTAGATAACTACCCATGTTGAATTGATTTGTCAGAAATACCGGTGTCCTGGTAAACTGCGGCATTTAAGCTGAGCCAGCGCGTTTTCACTGCCTTGACTTCCAAAACTATCTCCAACAAGCTTTTTAAATATACCGTACATTGTGTAGTTCATATGTGAAGTTGTACGTTCCTTTTGTTATTTAAGTTTGTTACTTTTAAATGGTTCAATATAATAATCGTAGTGTCAGTTTTAGTTGATCTTAGTAGATAAGCTGTCATGGAAGTGAATAAAGATTTTTATATCTATCTTAATACAAGTACTGATTGAGTATTACGAAAAAGAATTTATTTTCGCCACAATCGAATTTCCATTGTATCTAATAAGGTTTTGTAAAAGTCCATTGCCCCGGTGGTGGATAGATGAACAACAACATTAATACATCTGTTTCCAAATAAGAACCTTTTTGTAATGGGAAAAAGGGTGAATTTTGAAGAGAACTCCACGCAAGTCAATTTCAAAGGAGCTCGACTTAGACGGTTTTTATTCTATTGTTAAGTATAATAAACATGAGGGGGTCTTCCACTAATGTGATAGCTAAACAACAGATGGTCGTGTAAGCACGGTCACGTGTACGTAGAGAAATAACAATATATAATAGCTTCTTCTCCGTTAATAAGTTTAGCTATTCTAAGGGCATTATGGCTGCTCAAAAACAAAACCTAGTAAAGGTCAAATTTCTTGAAAATATTTTTTTAACGGAATACTACTTCCATAGTAAGTTTTTTTTATAATATCATGTAATGAGGACGATGAAGTCGTGCGCCTGACGGTAAGCTACATGTAAGCCCTGAGACATAAGTTGACAAGTCCCATGTCCTGTAAGTTCACCAGCACCTAAGGGTCAGCCTTTAAAAACCGGAACACAGTAATGCTGACATTACAGCTTGGCGGCAGAGGTGGCAGTACTTCCCTGGACGAACTCTTTCACAAGGAGATCTACTGCTACTACAAAATCTCCTAATGTCAAAACGACAGCCGTTAAAAAATTCTACAATTTCAGATATTTCGAAACTTTAAAAACCTAGTATGGCACACCTAGTGTAGTTCGTGACCAGCCAAAAATCTTTTAAATTACTTTAACCATTTCAACACATAGCAAGTATTTGACACTTTTGAGAGGTTTTAGAGTAGCTGAGTGCCTTAATATGTATTTGAATTGGATATTAGGGGATAGTGGAATTTTATTGATATTAAAAATCTTACTCGTCTTATTAATTTAATATTACAGTACCGGCATGCTATGATGGCCGTTTCGACGTTTGTCCGCTCATCAAGTTTCGTATTAACTCATAACTACGTAGAAGGATATAATTGCTCTACATTGTTGTCAAAAAATTATGGAATGTATAACTTTACAACACAAGTCGCCAAACAAAAACCAAAACTTTGTTGCAACAAAAATTTGTTGTTCGAAATTCCGAATTTAAAAAAATGAAATCTTAATACGATCGTCACTTATAGAATCGCTGGCCAGCTCAACTTCTACCTCTGGCAAACTCGCGTCAAAGCTCAATGCACAACAAAGCAGTTTCAAATTGACGATATATTAAGTAAACACTTTTATTTTCGTTTTATTAAAACTTTTTAATCAGCTACCCCTTGCAACACCAGTTATAAATCTAAAAACTTACAGATGCGACTCGCATTTGATTATATTTTTTTCGATAGTGAATTGAGATTTGACCTCATTATTGTAATCTGTCAAAGCGGCCATCAAAGCGTGCCGGTACTGTAGTAACACAAAATCGAAGTTTATTCCAAATTTTGTAATGCACTAAACCTAATACCTACTACCTAGCAAATGCTTATATTGTATTTTTATTCAGTCTACTACAGTACCTAACTTTCCTTATGTAAATAAATATTTAAAGTTAGCAAGGGTACAAAATATGTAACACGTAAATTATGATCATTTTTATAACACCAATATATTCGATAAAAATTCAGGGCGATCTTGATTTGTGTTTTTGGGTTCTGTAAAGTTCGTCCAAAGCACTTACTAGGTTTATTATGGTGCAGCCGATTACAGCCTGATAGAAAACTATAATGTAACAGAAGCTTTACATTAAATCCAAACTAAAAAAACATGGTAGGGACCCGTTTAGCTCGTGCAGGTTATTTCTTTTTTTTTATAAAACATAAGTGCGCATTTGCCCTCTATATCACCTGATGGAAAGTGATGATTAGGTTGACGGTGTAGCACGCACACCTAAATAATGCCTATTCACTCTCGCCTTGGAAAGGTCCAAGTTGTAGCGTTCGGGGAACAAGTCCGCGGGCAGGAAATTCCACTCTCTAGCCGTTCGCCATATCTACAATATAGGGATGGAATACCAGCCCACGTCTAGTCCCCGATGATGGAAAGGGGAAGGCGGAATCATATTATGCAATTTCATTGCACACTCTCCGTGATATATCCTGTAGAATACCGATAAGCAGGCAACTCTACGGCGGTGTTCAAGGCACTGCAGCTTCTTCTTGGTACTCTTGTCGACTAAACCCAATGTGGCCAGTTGGTATATAGCAGAGCCATCCCATAAGTGCCAGCAGAACTCCATACACGACGCAGGCAACAGTCCCGGTATGAAGTAACGCCTCACCTTGAAAAGGATTCCAAGCTTCCTGGCTGCGTTTTTGGCCATGGATTCAATGTATCTACCGAAGTTCAGATTGGACGACAGGTCCATTCCAAGTAACTGGAGACGATCGGCTATCGGTATGGATACATCACGAAAAGTCGGAGTCAGGTGAAAGGGACTCCGTTTTGTGGAGAATAGACACGCCTGCGTTTTGGTAGCATTAAATTTGACATCGCCCCAATCGGAGACTGCCTTAAGTGTCAAATTCAAACTTTCGATCTATGATATTTGAAACAAAGATTTAGACCAATAGAAATTTTGTAATTACGTTGCCCCCATTGTACTCATAATATAGTGAATTTCTTCATCTCAGACCTGAGGGTCTACTTCCATTCTCCATCCGACATCCGCCCGAAACCATTACTGTGAAATAAGTAATACCTGATCACATTAAATGACGAAGAAGAAGATGCGAAAGCTTCATACTAATCGAGTATTTCTGGTTATATACTCTATGTTCATACTTGACATTGCTTTTTGATTTGGGCGAGTGTTACTTACTTGAGGACGGGAGTAGATCCCAGTTCATTGATTTATTATTATTATCATCATTATCATCATATCAGCCGGAAGACGTCCACTGCTGAACGTAGGTCTCACCCAAAGACTGCCAGACTAGCCGTTCGGACGCGACGTGCAACCATTGATTACCCGCCGCCCTTACCAGGTCATCCGTCTCTCTCGTACGGGGCCGTCCCACTGGACGCCTTCCGGTTCGTGGTCTCCATTCAAGAACCTATCTGCCCCAACGGTCAGTTTCACGAGCTTTGTACCTTGTCCACTGCCACTTCTACTTGCTAAGACACCGAGGCTTTCGTTATTCTACGGATCTCCTCATTTCTGATTCGATCACGTAGAGAAATGCCGAGCATTGCTTGCTCCATACCTTGTTTATTTGTTATAGATTATCATTATTAACCCTCAACCCAAAAAGAGGGAAATTATAAGTTTGATGCCTTGGAAATGAGTTTCATCTAAGTGAATATATTAATTTAATTAGTTAAACTGGATGTAATGGTATTAACGGTTTGCACGGTAGGATCAATTTGGAAATTGAATATTTCAAAATTTTTAGTTAGTATTACTTATTTGACAGCAATTGTTCCGGACGGAAAACGGGAAACCGCTTGGTCCGGCTGTTTAGCCATGCAGTTCGTCAATATGCTGTAGTTGTTCTTACCTCCGACACTAGCGCCATATGCAACGCCGACGGCGCACAGTGAATTGTTGGCGGTGGCAGCTACCTCCCCCGCGCATCTCGTCCCGTGGCGATTGGAGTCGAACATGTCGTACCTCGGCTGAGGGTCGGAGTCGTGAGAGTTCACGTCGTACGACGCCATTGGATCCTGTTCAATAATTATCAGAATTAGTTAAGGGGAGCCACCGGAAGAGAAGTGGGAAAAGCTGTTTCGCCAGACCGAATGATTTAGGTATTTACTATTGAATAACGGTCTTACAAAAAATATACGATATACCGAAGAATATTGTCTAAAAAAACGTGATAATTTGTTACACGATAGGGTATTCAACCCGATCATATAAAATCCTGAAAACAGGTTAAAATAAAAGTGTTAAACGAATTATTTAAGAATGAAATAACTAACGTTGCACATAATTTTAATATGCATATATTGCTTTTTAAATACTACGGAAAACCTACTAAATTTTGGTTTTCAATTCAAATAGTTATTAATTTCGCATTTAGCCCAAATTTTGAAAATTGCCCAGCAGTTTAACGATAATATTATATCGATAATACCCAGCCAGCTAAACAAATTCTTTCACCTTTTGCACCTTCTGGCTACCAACCTTGTCCCCATTTTTCCATTTTTAACCCTTTCAATTACCATCACCTTCGTCTTACTTCCTTTCGCCTTCCATCCTTTTCTTTCAGATTGATATTTATTTTATTTTATTTTTTATTTATGGCACAATGTACAGACATCAGATACAGAAAGTGAGGAAAATAAAAACACTTAAAAATTAATACAACAGGCATATCTGTGCCCAATTATTACTGTGCTCAACATTCATTTTAAAACATTTAGATATACTTAAACAGACACTAAATCAATCATAAAAAAAAGTCGAGAGAAATAAAAAATAGAGAGAATGAGAATATGCTATTCACTTTACATTAATGCTAGCAGTGACCTCTTAAATGCTGGGACACTGCAGTTAAAGATATCACAATTAGTACATATTTCATTATAATACCCACACATCCTATATAGAGGATTATTTTGTGATACATTGTTTTTCGAAATGGGTATATATATATGAATAGTCGTTGATTACGCACAGACCGAGTCGGCTATATATATATATATATATATAGTATAAACTAATTAAACTTCAGTTTTCACAATAAATATCTTAAAATATGCGCCATTAGCCAAATTTTTGTTTTAACAGTAAAAGGATTATTCTCATCGCTCAATCCTCAGTTTCAGAATCTATATCATTTTCCGGTCTGTCCATATCATAGACAAAATTTTAAGTATTTACATTTTTCAAACAAGTTATATGTGTTAAGTTACCTAGTTAAACTAAATCGTTTCAAACCACGTTGAAAAACAAACATGTCTTGTAATTCGCATATATGGTTTAACCACACATAATACATTTTTGCGAAATTCGAGACGAACCAGATTTTGTGAAAACAATTTTTTGATTTAACAATTACTACGATTTTTTTTAAATATATTACTGAAAAGAATATTAAACTTTATATTACACGGTATAAGACTGCATTCATAACTCATTTTACGATTTTCTGTGGGTTAACACATTTATGCAGAACACTGCCTAGATATTACAAACATTTGAAGTAGGTATATTTATGAATAAATTTAATGCTCTCCGTAAGTAGAATAGATATTACAATAATTTTTATGCCCCGTCAGTCGCCATCGGGCGCTTGAAGTCAGAACTGTGTCAAATTTTCACTGCCTGTTCTTATTTTATTCCTATTAATTTTCAGAAATCGACGTATTTATTACGCTTTTTAATATGTGAGTGAATAATAATTATTTAGATGCGCATGTTCCATCGTCGTCCTCATCGTCACTTTTCATCAGAATCAGAAGTGAAATGCGGACTTATTTATGAAGGAAATACTGCGATAAAATCTGCGTGTTGAAGAGATTCCCAACCCGCATTGAATCAGCGTGGCGAATGGCCTAAAACCTCTTCTTAGAAGAGACTAGATTAACTAGAAATGCGTGCCGAAAAGCTTACAGGTGACTCGGATTTAGTGGAGGTAAACCTGCAGAGCCTTGAACACCGCCGCAAAGATGCCTACTTATCAATGTTGTACAGGATATATCACGATGAGTGCGTGATGGAATTGCATGATAATTCCACCTTCTCCATTCTATCATCGTGTGACTGGCCCTGCAAACTTGTTCCCCGAACGCTATAACTCAGGCCTTTTCAAGGCGAGAATGAATAGGCACTATTCTAGTGTGCATGCTACATCATCGTCAGGTGGGATGGAGGTCAAATACGCAATTATATTATATAAAAAAAAATGGTCGAGCGGCCGGGACACTGGATTTATTTCCGAATATATTTTTTTACAAACGAAATTAAATCCATATGTCATGTACTATACGTGTTCTATTTAGTTAGGTTGATATAAAAATAATCATTGGTATAAGTACCCATTAAATACAGCGGTTTTCTTGTAAAATTTCGAGGTAAGTTTGTGTTTTTCCTATCGTGACAATTTTTACGAATCGCGTTTTCACGCCGTATATATATATATACTAGTCAGTGTATCAAATATACTAATATTTTTTCACTGTTATGCCGAATGAGCACTCATTACGCTGTCAGAGCACCTCCCTTCTGGGCATAATCTACCTTGACACACTTGGAAGTCTTTAAACAGACTGCGGACCCAAGTCGGCCGGAGCAAGTAGAGCATGCACAGGTGGGGTTATAGCTCTGAGAGCGCATGTATTTATGGTGTCTCTCTCCAGACTATGGCATATCTGTTGTCTTGTCCTGCGTACCCCTACACCTGCACAGACGAGGACCTGTACAACGCCACTGATAATGCTGTGTCAGTCGCCGAGTACTGGTCCTCACAAATATAAACGTCAAAGTCGACACGCGAATTAGAAGAAGAGCAAAAGCCATTTGAAGTAATATAGACTCTTAAGTATTGCCTAAAAACAGATAACGCTTGTGTTTCTATTCATAACTTATACATGTATATTACATATACACCTACCCGTAGTTTCTTACTTGAAATAAACTAAAATTCAGCTTCCTACGCTCTGTGGGCGATCCATAAACGTGAATAATGTAATCTGTGCTGCGAAACAGAGGCTTCAGGCATTAGGGGCGTTTCGGCGTCGTTGCGGACGTATAAAACAACGCATTACCGCGTAATGGATTCAAATGGGTAAGCATCTCAATCAGGGAACTGTGGGCCCATAAAATCGAAACTGGAACAACGGCAAGGACTTATATAGAGCCCTGTGAAAACTAAATAGGTGACGAGATAAGGAATTAACACGCGTGAGGGCTCATTATTTTGTCGAATTGTGAGTTTTATTTTACGGCAAAACATCTGAAAATATATAATAGTAGCTATAAAGGTTGTATAGCGACGATTTACAGAGTTCATAAACAGCTGAACTGCCGTGACAAACCAATACAATGTAAAGTCTCTTACAGTGTTGTGATTTAACAGCGCTCATATGATTTCTATAGGCCTAATCTATACCCTGACATTTTAACTTTGGCGGTATTAGTGTATTTGAATGAGATATTAAAAACTAAAATACACTGTAAGTTTTAAAATTATTTTGACATAACCCAGTACGCAGCAATACAGTTTTTTCGTTTGACAAAACGCGCGCGAATTGCGGTACAGTGCTGCGGGGCGCCTGAGTTACCGAAAACTCTCAGATCGCGCAAGTGTCTCTGGAGAGGTGTAACATTTGTATGATTTAAATTTTAACAAGAAAGAATGTCATTATATCGTGTGACGAACTATACGATATATCCATAATAATGTTTTGTAATTTCATAACAACAAGTATCTTTCGGCTGTTAACAAGGGAAACGAAAAAATTATACGTTTTACAATTGAACTAACTCACTTTCCAAAGTAAAATTGTAATAGCTAGATATATTTGTTTAGCAGCTAATGTACAACGTAAGTTAAAATGTTATTAGTGTTATTACCTCAAATATTACAAAAAACCGAAAAATCCTGTACGCCTTTTCTCAAAATGCTGGTTTTGATATTACAGTGTTTTGGTCTGACACGGGTCTGATAAAAATAGTCTTCAAATAAAAAAAAACGTTCTGAAATCAGTAAATTTGTTTTGGACCTATGATATCACAGACAAAATTCTCCAAATTTACGGTTTGTAGACAAGCACTCTTAACGCTAAACACCCGTCTGTTCCGAAAATCCTTTAAAAATAACTGCCTCTGTGGTTACCATGCCACGCAGAGGTCCCAAGTTCGATTCCCGGGACCAGGAAAAATATTAGAATGGCCTACATTTATTTCTCTCGTGAGTTTGGGTGTAATTCGTGGTTGCCTATGTGTGTATCCATGGCACCCGTGATACAGGGTTTTCCTAGTGCTATGAGTGTGTGCGTGAAAAAAACAGACTAGAGCTACGCACTCTAATTGCCGCTCTAAACCGTTAGAGCGGCACCGTAATGAACCATCATGTCCATATAATAAAGACCTTTTCAATTTAGGTATCACGGACATCCCTCTAAGCAGGGCGTGCATGGAAGGGGAGGAAACAGCCGCGAATATCCCACTACAATGCTCCGGCGTGGTCGACTACAAGGCGAAATTCCTTGGAGTGCCGAGGTCTCAGATCCAAGAGGATGCTGAGATTCGTAGAGGAGTTTGGGTGGCACGAGTGGGATTCTGCACTCACCACACGCAAAATAGGCGCCTAGTCATGCGAACACCAGCCCTTTACACCATACAATACAAAGCCTACTTATAACTTCCCATTTTTATTAACGATTTCCGCAAAGTAACGCCTGAATCCATTAATTGCATAGCGCATTGTTCCAAAATCCTGGAGTCGTATCCACATTATACATAACGTTTAAGGTCTTTGTCCCAAAATGGCCTACTCCGATCGCTGAAGGCCGCAAAGAGGCGGCCGGGTACAGTGGCACGTTTTGCCTTAATATCAGAATACATTGAAAGAAAAATATTTCAACACCGCGTGTACCCAACAAAAGCCGAGATTCAAATTACACGATCCATCTCGTCGCGCGACTTTTATTTCAATGTTGGTTTCGGAAAATGGGGAATTGGGACGCTGTTGTGTGCGAGCTGTCACGTTCAGTCGACTGAGCTATTGAAATTATATGGATTTGTTTATTGGCCAAAAGCTGAAATTTTAAATCTTTTTTTGTGATGCCAAGTGACCAAACAAACAAATCGTGCACCTGGTGTTAAGAGACACGCCTCTTCATAGCAGTTACAGTGCTACCCAGAGCTTTAAATGGCAAAGATCTGAGGGTAACTGTAACTGACACCCTAAGACATAAGTTAACAAGTCCCATGTGCCTGTAATTTCACCAGCACTCTTTCTACTTGACGGCAGAAATAGGTGGCAGTACTTCCTTGGATGAACTCTTTCACAAGGCATGCCTGGGATACGAACCGTCGTCAATTGAGAAGCATTCGTACTTCTACTAAACTACCAGCTCCTATTAAGAATGATCCCCAGGCATTAAAACTTTGACATGTCGATTATCCACAATCTGCCTCCACACAACTTTTCTAAGAGTGAAGTAAGTAATCGATTGCGGCAGTGATTTGAACTTTGGACCTCATCCAAGTAGGTCGGGTTACCATTCAAACCGAAGCGTTAGCATTAACGACTTCTTTTCAAGGTTATTTCGAATGGACACCAATTGGACCGTGAATAGTTAAACCGAACCGCAATAAAAGTCCTTTTTATACAGCTTTACGTCTTTTGTAACTTGCCAAAGTGTGTATAAGATACACCCGCCGGATAGAAGTACTGCCAACTTAACTATTTTTGCCTCCAAGTAGTTTAATGTAAGCATTACTGTGTTTCTGTTTTGATAGTTAAGGGCGCGTTCAAATTAGCAGTGTTTCCAAATTTTTAGTGATGTTTTATCTTTCGACTCAGTTACGCGATGGATTCTGACGAAGAAACATTACTTTTACCTAGTTCTTGGGGCACAGACTTGACATATAGGCATTAAAAATGACTTACCTATGTTTTGTTCAGTTGTACTTTTAGTTTCAAAATTTTCAATAAATTCTAAACATACATTTTACCATTCCTTCTTTTTATCAGTCGATTGGTCAACACTGCTATCCCATATTGTTGCGTATTGTTTTACATTGTCTATAAATTTTTCAATTCTATTTTCATCTATCGTGGTTAATTTGAAAAATTAACATGTACACCTCACTAACCGTGACTGCAACCGAGCGTGACAGTTGCGCGGTTGCAGCGCTTCTAGAAATTGTATGAAAAGTGACAGTCGCGCGGCTGCAGCGCGTCTAACAGCAGCTGATTTGAACGCGCCCTAAGGGTGCTGGTGAAATTACTGGAACATGGGACAGGTGACGGGCCCAATGCCAGTGCTTCTTATATCTTTGTAATTTAAAGTACTGAACTAGCAACTGTTATAGACAGGCGTGTCGCTTACCACCAGGCGTACGATTTGTACGTTCCGCTTGGCACTTGCACTTGGTACCTTAAAAAAAACTTATAGCTAACGATTTTTAACTCCATCCTTGTAATTAGGTAAGTTTGTTTTAACATAAACAGTTTAATTCTAAATTTTTATAACGGAACTTTATAAATATAGAAACTTATTCGTGATATCGACTGTACATGTAATGAAAGTTAGGAAGTAAGGAAAAGCTGAATTCGCGTAGTTTCATATTCTCATCACCGCCGAAAAGACGTCATATTTTCTCCGAACTCGCAACTGTCACTCGAAGACGTGTGGTTACTGAATCATTTTTAATATTCACAGACTCAAATGTCGTTTGAGCTTTTTTTCAACGTGAATGGATTCCAAGAAAGCTGGAAGCTTTGTACAATCAAATCAGATACTGTTTACTGGAGGTATTCCGCAACTGTATTTGCTTTTTTTTAAAAAAAAGGAAAGATGAACAAGATATACATGAACGAACATCATTAAACCACTATACGTCATACTGCTAAGCACTGGTGTTCGGGAGGCGACCATGCCGACAGCTCCAGTTAATCTTGAAAGTAGGGTGAGTACTGTACGTGCACACGGGGCGGTTCACCCGAGGCACTAGCCTCTTGAGAACCGAATGACATGACAAAGTGTCCGTGACAACGGTCTGTGACAACCCTTTACACGGGCAGATCAGGACTTGAATTTAGAAGGTGCTTGCACAGGTTATAGTGGCCTTCCCGCATAACCAAGAGGTTGATAGGGAGGGTCACTATTATCAAAACACACCATCGAAGATACGGGACTACTAAGCACTGGTCTCATCTAAAGAACAGTGAATTTTTTTCGATATACAACTTTCATCACGACGATTTTCTTCACAACTAGCGAATGTTAATGGTAGTAAACATTTACAAATGTACGCAATTTAAAGATTTAAAACATATACATGCCGCTTTGGGGAATGATGCTCAGAAAGAAAGAATATACACATGTATTTGTTTGATAATAATTACTTAATCTGATTTTTTTAAGTTTTCATGGTCTTTTTTTATCATAAAATAAGTGCACATTTAATCTCCATGTCACCTGATGGAAAGCGACGATGGAGCATGCCTATTATACAAGTTACGACGTTTTGACATTATATTGAAATTTAAATCAATGTGCTGCCATCTAGCGGTTTATTGCTGAACGACGACGAATTGGTGTTGTTAATTTAGTTCTCCAAAAAAGAAGCGACTATATTGCAGGGATATAAGCTTTACTATCGTTTCTTATTACAAAAAAAACATATTTCGATAAACAGAAAATTGATTAAAAAATACTTTCCGATGATATATGAAATATCACCACGGGTAATAATTTTGATGCGGCTATTATTTTTGCACTTCAAAACGGCACAAGGCAGTTTTCAAGGACTTTAGAGAATTTGCACGAAAGAATGACACAACCATACCACACAAAGCGAAAATGGCGGACTGGGTTTAGATAGGTCTTTAGAGATGAATGAATGAAATATTCTTTATAGCACCTAAAATTACAGTTCAAATACAATAAAGTAACTAAGATATAAAGATAGTAAGATAATGTGCAACATGCGGCCTTATTGCTATGTAGCAATTTCTTCCAGGCAACCTTAGGATGGAAATTTGGGATATGCAAAAGTGGTGCAACCAAGGAACATCATTATAAATACACTACACAATAATCATTAATAAACTCATATAAAAATTAAATAATAAGTATAGAAAATAAATAAAAGAATAGTGGAGAAAAAGACAAAACTTAGGAGTTGAGGAAGTGATCCTTGACACGTCGTTTGAAGGAATCGAGAGAAGGGGAACCTTGAATGGATTAAGAGAGAGAATTCCACGGTCTGATCGCAGAAATGGTAAAAGATTTGGAATAAAAATTAGAGGTATGGGATGGGATGGGGTATGTTTAGTAAGAGAGTATCAGAGGAGCGAAGGAGACGGCAGAGTGTAGAAGAGTGGAAAGTAAAGCTATCTTTGAGATAAGAAGGCGTAAAGGGACAGAATAGAATTGAAGAAGGGAAAGTATATGCAGATCTCTGCGCTGGGGGCTGGGTAGCCATTTAAGTTGTGCACGAAACTGGGAGACGTGGTCAAATTTACGAAGTTCAAAAATGAACCTCACATTTGGAGCCGTACCAATTTAATGAGCAGAGTGACTGACACATTCGGGTAGCAAACATCGGCATAGTCCAGTATCGGATGTAGAATGCTCTGGGCCAAAGTAATTTTAGTTTTAGTGGGCAAAAAGTTTTTAAGCCTTCTCAGCAACGTGCGGCTTCCAAGTCAGACATTTATCAAAATTTACCCCCAAATTCCTAACTGCCTAGAGATCTATAGTTGTCACGAGTCAGACGCTAAGTAACCAATTCTACTGTATTTATTGTTCTGTGGTCCAAACAATGCGGCCTTTCCTCAACGTCTGACATACACTGGGCAACAATCGGTACCTTACGCGAATTGGCAAATCCTTGCACCAAAATAGAAAGCATTAGAGTGTATATCATCGATACGATAAAAAGAAAAAATCAAGGGCAAATCTAGTGCCGTAATACTGTATTAAATGAGCCACAAGTGATACTTACGTAATTATTGATTAAATCAGGATGATCAGTTTCCAGGCCGTCGTCGAGGATCGTGACGACGACTCCGCGGCCTGTAATGCCTTCCCGCCACGCCGGAATCACATTCATGTCCAGGCCGCCTCCTCGATTCTATACAAAGAATTCATACATTAATTAAAAATTAAAAGAAAACAACTTCATATCCGCTCACGCGATGCGCTCCTCCTACCGCAAAATGGCGGCTATTTGGTTTCGCAAATTAAAAAAGCATTCAGTTTAAATACAAGTTTTTATAAATAAAAATTATTATCCAGCATTAATTAATTATATATATATTAAATAAATACCCTCCGTACTACCAACTAAAACATCTCAAATAAAATGCAGTAATACACCGCAAATCCTGCACTTAAAAAGCACTACTGAAATTTTTGGTGTACTTGGATAAATATGATTTACCATGAAATTACTCCTTAAAGTATAGTTTATAAACATTTATATTCAGGGTAAACTTAAAAAACGCTACTTTCAACAGCCCAAACAATAAAACACACGATTGTCGTGACGTATTTTTGAAGTTGTTTATTTTTTTTAAATGACAGACATTAAACCAACCGTCAACCGTGTCCATGGGACCTGTAAAGGGCCCGAAACGTCGGTTTGTTTGAAAAAACAAATATACGCGATTTAAATCCGGAAAAATAGTTTCATTCCTAGACATTAAAAACTTGATGGTTTGCTAGAGTAGTTACCGAAATAGCAATTAATATTAGTTCTTTTACCTATTATAACTTCGATATCCGATAAATCGGTATAAAATCATCACCGGCACCTCTAGGTGTGGTATGCGTCTACGGCTACATGTATCGCGTGAGCGGGTATAAATATACAAATAAAATGACATAAAACATCACGCTTGTCCCCTATATACCACTTCCTACACTATGTACAAACTTCTTTTGCCTCCTTCACTTGCATTAGTCTCTTCGTACATACTTTGAATGACATTTCCAATTGTGATTATTAATAGCAGTACAGGTCCTTGTGAAAGAGTTCATCCAGAGTAGTACAGCCACCTTACCTATTTCTGCCGCCAAGCAGTAATGTCAGCATTACTGTGTTCCGGTCTTGAAGGGTAAGGGTGCTGGTGAAGTTACAAGCACATGAGACTTGTCAACTATGTCTCAGGGTCACTTGATATTATAAAAAAAAATACAAAGATCGAAGGTATGGAAAAACTCTTTCGACCGATAGGACTTGAGCCTCGACCATACTGCACCGTATTGCTCTTACCAACTGAGCTACAGCTGAAGGTTACTTTCAGTTAGCGTTTAAGCTTTTTACACTTTTTTTTAGTATCGCAGTGTTGCTGGTAATTTAACACATCTACCACACTTTTGTTTTAAATAAATAATTAAGAAATGCAGGTTATAATAATTCTTCTTATTATTTCGCTAAGCTCTTTAATTCAAGCTTATCTAGCAAAACATTTGAGGCTGGTTAATTTTTTCCGGGAATAAAGTATTAAGCTCCATACTACATATTCGGAACAAGTTTTTTATTATTTTAAATTTTTATTGAATTGATACTCAATTATTTTGTGTGAAATTACTCCACTAGTTTGTCATAATTATTAATACAAAGATGATTCGTTCCGTGGCTTAGTTGGTATAACGTCTGGCCCGGTATGCCAGAAGACGTCGGTTCGATCAGATCGCAGGAATTTTTTCTGAGTGTTTGATCTTTGTATCAATAATTATAACAAGTCATTCATTACGTTTTGTAAAAAGTCACGGAACAAAAAAAATGTGTTTATGCTGTTAATAATATGCTCTACGAGTTTGTTGGTATTTACAAAATAATCGTGTATACGGTCTTGTATTGTTATAAAGTAAAGCAAAGCATAGAAGAAATATTTTTTTTAAATATACTTGGAAAAAGTACGTAAGAGCAGAAACTTCACAATTGAAAGTTTGAGAGTGCTTCGTGAACCCCGTAGGCCTAATTATCCACTCTGAAAAGGGAAATTTTGACGAATAACAATCCGGTCCAAGTTAGATACGGCCCAATAATTTGGATTTTCGACTTTCTTTGTGAAAGAAATTAAACTTCACCCGCCGCTTGAAAAATACAAGGTTTTCACAAACAATCACTACTTGGCAATTCTTCATTGCCATTCACGTTTGACGTGATATTGTTCATCGTAAGAAATGATGACGTAGACCATAGACTTATATCTAAATAGACACCGCAAGTTCCTCGATCTGTATGAAATCCAAACGTGCCACATTTTATGTACTTATCTGATGACGTCACAAGTGTTATTTAGTGATAGGAAACCTCATTCAGCACTTTAGTGCTGAAGAACGTTTAGAGAATTATCGGGAATTATCATCCGTTTGTTTCGTAAATCGACCAGAATCGCGACTTGTGTTGCATCAAGTGAGCATCACTAACCGTAAAATTTGACCAAATCCATGACGAAGCGTACGTACCATGAAACCGAATGCATTATAGGAATATATCACTCGTTCGATATTCAACCTACTAAAGAAGGACTACAAGCGTACCGCACCAAGTAAAAGCAGCAATGTATTACAAATCACGCGAATACACTCGTTTGCAAATTTTGTTTTCTCGAAATTCTTACAAAATGAAAATAATTGATTTTAAAATAAATTATAGCATCTGCTGATTACAAAATTACGTAACTGTGAAAAGAAACGTTCCTGTTTGTTTATTTTCCCACAGCTGTGGTGTTTTTGTAGTTTCTAATGGCACGATAGGCATTTTTTACGTTTTCGGCTGATGTTTAATTACGATAACGGCCGGGCGCGTTCTGAAACGTGGCAGCAGCAACTAAGCGTTTATAGCTTACACGCGAAGTAGGTACACTTGCGGCGTCTATTTAGATACATGTCTGTGTATGTATGTGTGTCACGTAGACGACGTCAAAATGTGCGCCAAAAAGATGTCTTTTTACGATGACATTCCCGAAACTAAGTATGCAAAGATCAAATTACTGTTATAATTATAAATACAAAGATCGAACAGAGAAAATTCCATCGGCATGACAACACTTGAATTTGCGACCACGCTGCACCGCAGCGTCGCTCTGCCAACTTAGCTACTGGTCGAATATAAATCACTGAGCCACCGCAGGCGCTACTAGTTACACCCATGAAAGCCAAAATTTTTATTAATTAGAGAATTCTTCACACTTAACTTCTAATTCGCACTCTTACTTACAAGGAAATTCAAATGTACGCACGGAACCATAATTGATACCCAATGTTGGAGCAATCACTAACTCGTAAGATCTCCAAGTTCAGGAGTTAGGGGATCACTTTTAAATGGCATTTCTTCTCGTCTTGTACAAGTATCGGGTTTGTTCTCATGCACTTTGTAATGTCATTGTTTTTCTTTATTAAATAAATTACTGTTATTATTATTAGATACTTTGCACGCCTTGTTCATTCAACAGATAATAATTTCTTGTCTATTCTGAGGAAGTAAAATACAATCTAGGCATATTCAACGCTAGAATGAACAAGTATTTCGTACGTTCTCGAATCGAAGAGCGCTTTCCGAGCTATTCAGAACGTTCGAGTCGGATTCGGATACGATATCGTTATCCAACAGCGTTTACGGAGTTAGTCGGTGAAATACACTATAAGAAAAATGAAAATCCTTTCTTAGCCGCTCACGCGATTCATGCGTCTCTGGAAGCATACCACACCTAGAGGTCCCGGTGATGATTTTATACCGATTTATCGGATATCGAAGATACAACAGGTAAAAGAACTAATATTAATTGCTATTTCGGTAACTACTCTAGCAAACCATAAAGTTTTTAATGCCGGGGTCTGTCGTTTAAAAAAATAAACAACTTCAAAAATACGTCACGACAATCGTGTGTGTTATTGTTTGGGCTGGTGATGTCGGTGTTTATTTATTGAAATCATACCGTAAGTTGCGTTTTTTAAGTTTACCCTGAATATAAATGTTTATAAACTATACTTTAAGGAGTAATTTCATGGTAAACGTTAGAACCACTCAAACGGAATATTATCATATTTACCCAAGTACACCAAAAATTTCATTACTGCTTTTTAAGTGCAGGATTTGCGGTGTATTACTGCATTTTATTTGAGATGTTTTTGTTGTAGTACGGAGGGTATTTATTTAGCAATGCAGAATAATAATTTTTATTTTTAAAAACTTGTATTTAAAATGAATCCTTTTCTAATTCGCGAAACCAAATAGCCGCCATTTTGCGGTAGGATGAGCGCATCGCGTGAGCGGATATACATTTTTAAAACTTTAAAGGCCTTCAATAAAGGAATGCATTAGCCTTTGCATTAAAATAAATTAATAAAATTGAACAAAATCCAGAGCTTATTTAAAATAATAAGCGGTTTCCATATTACATTCTTGCTTTGTAAACAATAGGACGTTCGGTAATTTTCATTCAATCGAAAAGCTCGAGTAATCATACGGATGTGACATCATTTCCTATTTGGTGTTGTGTATAAAAATGAAAAGAAATCGTACGATATCAAATCGGATCGGTCGAATCGAATGGTTCTGAATCCACCCCCAGGGGAATTGTCACTCAGCGTTTGTCTACATTATATTAAACATAATAATAATAATGAAGTGAGAACTTACTAAATACCACATGTGAGGCCACTTGGGATCGTTGAGTATGAACTTGGTTTCTGTGGACCGCGGCCTGTCTTTTATTCGTGGAATTTCGCGCTTGGAACTTGCGCCTGCGTCGCGTTTCGTAGCGGTAGACGGGATTGGCAGTTTATATGGTGCTGTTTCCACTGTAAAAAAATATTTACTTTAGTACAATTAAATTAAAAACTACGGAATGAAATTGAAATTCGATTACAAAAGAAAATACTCTGAAATCATAATAGTCCAAATAGTCATTTCAACAATGATAATTATAAGAAATTGTTGAACGCCATCTATGTTGGAACAGAAATATTAAATGGCACCACTAGCTACTATTAAAACAAAAAACGTGTTTTAACGAGTTTATGTTAATTACTAAAAGAAATTGTTTAAATTAAAACTTATTTTGATAGTCAACAGGTCAACAGGTGCGTTAACCAAAACATTTTTAATTCTACTGTAACTGTAAATATAGCAAAACGACATCTATTGGTGACAATGTTAATTAAGTCCAACGTGTACGGCGTCGACTAGATGATGCGATATGTGGCACTTCAAAAAGAAACTATAGATAGAAGATAGAAGGAAAAATACCAAGAATAGATTATAAAGAGGTCAAGGAGCTGGGCTATGGGTCGTGAGAAGCAGAGACTACACCTACCAGGCCTTGACTTACGGAGTCGAGACGTGGAATATGACGGTCAAACTGGCTCACAGACAACACGTCGCTCAGCGAGCTATGGAAAGGTTTATGCTGGGTATCTCGTTAAGGGACAAAGTCCGGAACGAAGTTATAAGACTAAAGTTGTGGACATCGTCCAGAAATGTAGTAAGATGAAGTGGCAGTGAGCTGGCCACATCTGTTGTAGAACCGATGAGCGATAGAGTAGACTCGAACAGAGACCACGTCTCGGCAAACGTAATGTGGGACGTCCCCCTGCAAGATGGACCGACGATATGAAGAAGGTCGCGGGTAGTGGTTGGATGCAGTAAACGGGTGATCGGGAACTATGGCGTACACTTGGGGAGGCTTATGTCCAGCAGTGGACTGCAATAGGCTGACTGATTGACACATACCAGCCCACGGCTTTTCAACCAGCGTTAGTAACAATTGAGTACATGGTACTTGGTGTAACGGGTTGGCGTCCGCAACTCGACGTCAAGACGCCTATTTTGCGTGTGAATATGTTTTAAAAGTACGTGTCCATGTTCTTAGTACACGTTCGATCGTATAATTGTATACGGATTACAGTTGCTATTTTCGATAGCTCTAGCCGATTGTCTGCGCCCTAAGGGCGCGTTCCCATTATCTCGTAAAGTTTTATTTATCGTTGGACGACTGTCGCATCTAACCTGTTACCATACCACAACTAGGTATCTGTCGTGAATGTGTCGTAGACGTTTATTTTATCGTTGAACGACTGTCGTGTCTAGCTGTTCCCACTACATCGTGTCGACAATTTATCGGTTCACGGCTGCCGCCTTATAATTTGCACGACAGAATCGCTTGAAGCTGCGATTATCTGTCGTCACGTTTCTCTGTTGTTCTAGCTCTTCCATTGAAGACTGTCTGTCGTTGTAACGTTAAAAAAGTCGTGAACGACAGTTAATCGTGTTGTTCTATGTGTGAACAACCTCATTTAAATATACAAGCCACGACACTTGTCGCACGACTACCTGTCGTCATTACATAATGGAAACGCGCCCTTAGCCTTGGATTTGAACGACTCTCTTTTAGAGTCAACGCTGAGATTTTGTGGCTATGACAACCAACGCAGAAAAACGATCTGCTTTTCTCGGTTTTCTAACGGTTACATTTAGTTCTAACGTCACCGTTCTTTCTTCTGTCGTTTAAAAAGTCCGTAACACTCAATTCTTATGTCATTGTTATACCACTTATTCGAACGAAGCGCTTTGTTTCCTCCTTCCTAATGCGTACGGCAAAATAATACCTGCTAATAACCAACACCTGCTTTTCTAAAGTACAATTTAAGACTATTCAAGTAACTTATTGGCACGATCATAGTTTAGCCCACCGGCGCCATGTTGACTGTTTATCTGTCTTCTACAAAATATACTTCGGTGAGTGCGTCCGGCGGGATATCATCAGACGTAGTAAGGGCTTTTCCTCATCTTTTATTACGCAGACAGCTCAGAAATGCTGCCTGAGTTTCCGAGTACTCCTAATTACAACCCTAGTATCTTTAAAGTGAAAAAAAAAAAAAAAAATTAATAGACATTTTTTAAACAATCGCGTACCATAGTAACATCATCTTTTAACATCAGGCAAGATTATGGCCCAGCGAGTATTTGTTTATATATAAAAAATAAATAATGTGTCCCTTTGAACTCACTCCACATGCAAACAATGACAGAAAGTTAACAGAAATTGTAGTTGATGATTCTCCGTCAAGAGTATGAACTAATTGAATCATTTACCTGTGGTGGGTATCAGATCCCTTTTCTTCCTAGACAAGACTTGTTGCTGCTTGGCTGAACGTACCCTGGTGTCCGCCTCGAGTTTGCCATGGTGCTCTCGCGCAGGGTGCAGCGATCGCTTCGACACACGGTTGTGATGGAAGTGGAAATGGTTGTCAAATATCTGCGAACAAAGAAAAAAATAAGAAAAATAACTCCTACAAACGGACAAATACAAAAAAATAACAACACTATCAAAAAATAATTGAACATCACGGTAGTAAAACATCGTGATATTGACTACACTTAATATTACAATTATTAAAGCGAAGTATCTAATCAGTCTCCGGTAGCTGTAAAGGTACCTGGCTGAGTGACGAAAAACTTTCATACATTTTTCACAGATGGCACTACAACAAAGAATCATTAAAAACTAAAACCAAAGACAGAAAAATTCGTCCTGTAGCTCAGTCGGGAGAGCGTCAGACACGGTATGCTGTAGGCGCTGATTTGAATATAGCCGGATCTTGACAACAGGTGGTCCTAAGACTCTCAACAACAGAAAAGATCATCTAAATCGTTTCATATGTGTCAGTAACATAAAACCTGTATGAGAATCATTCCTATTTTAGGCTTTAGTTGCTTTAAAAGTCCGATATAATTGGAAATGAAACTATTTTCTCGGGCCTAAATCAGCCGTGACCTGCGAGGGGCCCGAAACTTAAGTTTGTTTGAAAGAACAAATACAGGTCCGCAATTTAGATCCGAAAAAATAGTTTTATTTCCAATTTGTAACAATCGCGAAAATCTAAGAACTCGTTGCCGTTGGTCAGCGGGAGGGGGGAAACCTTTAAAATTAATCACGAATATTCCCCTCCGTCGCCCCGCAAATCGCGTTAGGGCGACAATCATACTACCTTATAAGATTTATAAAATAAATAGAATAACCATTTCATTTACATGCAATAATAAATAATATACATGTAGTAAAATGCTTGTTACACTTTTTGCTTAACTGGAATTTCTATTGTACATATATCGCACAGATAATACAATAAAGTATTAACCCAAAAAGTAAATTCATTCAGAATAGCTGAAAAACTAATTACTCAGTTCCCGTGAAAAGTAATTATAATTTAAGCTAGGTTAAAATGTATTAAACATCTAAACAACTCCTACTTGCCAACTAGAAATATATTTAAAAATAAAAGCAAAAAATAATATAATATTTTTTAGTAAGGTCTCTTTTGTCCAGAAGTAGCTCACAAAACGTTTGTCTCATTCTGGGTTTAGTAGATATTTTTTAATGGTTTCTTACAATATTCTAACGACAATTTTATTGACGTGTAGAGGAACAAATTTTACGTTACAACAATAGTGTTACGTAACGTAAATACTATAGTAGTAATAGCACTGCGATATAATAGTGTCAATTGTGAAGAGTGAGGTGCTTATATGACGTGCTATATTTTACTTGTAGTGCTAAATTGGTGCAGCCTGAAAATCAGCAAATTGCTGAGGCTGTTACCGTTTCTTCAACAGAGCCATTTATTTTAAGCCATTTTTTATGTTGTTTTATATTGTTGAAGAATAAAGTATTTTTGTTCTATTTATTAATTTAATAATAATTTATTGTAGCACATAAAAATGGAAAGGTTACATGGCGTGAATTACAACGTCAAACATAATCTCAGTACAGAGTACTAAAAAAACCGACCTCAAAAGTACGTGGAATTACATATAATTACCAAGTTTTACTGAAATCGTTTACCGGAAAGTGCGCAAACCCGGACTCACCCCCTAGTTTGCCACTATACGGAACTTGACACAGGAGATAATAAAAATCGGTTCTCACTACTCAAAGTATATTGAGAGAGAAAAACGCCTTGAATTAAAGAATAGCAAAATCAACCATTAAAATAATTGCTCATTATGAATGAATCTTTATGCGTGAACAGCCACCCTTAGAGGATGATTTTCTTCAAAATTGAATAGGACCACTATGGAGGTACCCCCTTTTTAACAAAAATAGAATCACGAAAATTGGTTCACATATACCGGAGTTATCGCGTAACATACATACAAAAAGAAAAAAGAACATTCAGTCTAATTAAGAACCTCCTCCTATTTTTGAAGTACGGTTAAAAATGGGGTTCGGACCGTGTAACAGTTCTTTTGATAACCATTATAAGTGATATGGTGTGATAAAAAGAAAAACGTTAAAACACATAAGACGTGACGCGACTTCGACACTAAAAAAGTTGAAAAGAAAGAAAGAGAAGGAAAATGAATTGTTGTTACTATTGTAAAAAAAAAGTTGAGAGGAGATTTTCTGTATGATCGCATCTGTATCGTACGTATACATTTTTATAAATGTAAATTACCTTAGAATAAATTGGTAAATTTTTAAACATTTACTGCAAAACGAATTTTAAACGTGAAAATAACCGTAACTCAGTGGACAAATTTCAGTAATGGCCCAATTTTAATTTACCGAGCGAAGGCGAGCCATTTCAGCGCCTACCACAGTGTGACCGTGTTGTATTATTAAACCGCGGTTATCTTTTAACAAAACAAATGCGATTATATGGCAATAAAACCTGACGCCACGAACGCAACGAATTAACAAATTGTCGAACGACTGTGAAAATTCATATTAACAAAATGTTTAAAGGTTGAAATTGTACGTTTTACAAGGAAGAAAGTTTTAACGGGATATGTGTCAAGAATTGCAAAAGATAAGTGGTAGTGGTTCGTATATTGCTTGGAAAACAGATAGTCTAGATAGATTTGGATTTATCACCTTCGTTTATCGATATATCGTCTTCACCTCTCCATCACCGGCGGACTAGGCGTAAGCTTGGGTTCCACCCCTATGTTGTGAATATTCCAAAGATTCGCACGAAGTGTTACGTTTACACATTTATATGGCGAACGGTTATGGAGTGGAATTCCCTGCCTGCAAACTTCTTCCCTGAACGTTACAATTTGGGCCTTTTCAAGGCGAGAGTGAATAGGCGTTATTTAGGTGTGCATGCTCTATCGTCGACCTCATCGTCACTTTCCATCAGGTAAGATGGAGATCAAATGCGCACTTATATTTAATTTTAAAAAAAAGCCTCACAAAAAAAGCCGGTGGACCCAAAAATAACGTGAGCAGACCACCCACAAGGTATACCGGTGACTTGGCGAAAGAAGCGGAAATTCGCTGGATGCAAGTAGCACAAGATCGTTGTGGCGATTTAGGCTAACATGATGATGAAGGTGAGTAAATTGATGTTCAAGGATATTGGTGATTTAGGTGCTCCAACACAATCCAAGCAGCACTTACTGGTGTGCTCCTCGTGCCCAGACACCTACACGATCTTAGTGCAGCCGCAGATAGCGCAATCAAGGTGGCAATATATTCAAAGTCAATTCAATCGTTAGGTACATACAAGAAGTATCAACACAATAAGAAGAAGACAAGTTCTCCACACAAGTCAATGTTTAACAAAATGCTTATCAGACTCGATTGTTGTCAGCCTTCAAGTACAATTTTAATGATTCCATTAAGATCAATTTGATAAAAGTCCGGGTTTTAGTGCAGTGAGCTTGACAGTGTCATAGAAAATTCTCTGCACGTGCGTAATAATCAGTACAATTACTTACGCCATGGAAGTAATTGTACTGATTTGAAAAATCATTCGATTTAGTTGGCAATAGCGTTCATAACCTGTACGCATCTTATTGTATCTATTTGGTAGATATAGTACATTATCTCACGCGCACAAGTGGTAGGTGGCATAGCCGTCAACCTGTGAGTCAGACGGAAGACGGAGCTGGACGAGGTTCGACGTGCTGTTGTCGCCCAATTTGCTGACAGTGCTTCGAAATACAGTCATTCCACACATACTTATTGTCGCAACGATATGTGGTTTCAATATGCAACCTCAAGCTAAACGAAGGTAAAAAATGTCAAAATGTGTGAAGCTGATTACCTCAAATTAATGTTGTCCTGTAATGGACATATATGTCGGAGAACATCCAACATTACGTTTACGAAGGCTGTTTTTTTTTAAACCTAAAACGTCAAAGTGACAGTTCCATTTTGTTTCTTTTAATTTTTGCTCTTACTCGATTCTACTCGATTGTAAAGATGGCGTGATTGTCGATACTTTTTATTTTATCAGAATGGTAACACTGGCTTGTCTCCGGCCGGAAGTCAGTTTAGTTTCTTTTTTTTAAGTTGACAGTTCGCTAAGGTTAACCGAGCGGTCGCCTTTTTCTAAATTCATTCTGTTTCCAATTGCCGAGGAGTAAAGACAACCAAAGACATCACGCCTATCTGAATATATTTTCAAGTGATTTAGTTTGCAACACAATAAATCCACATTGGTCAACACGCCTGCGTTATTATTTGGAAGAAATTCCTCGTAATGGACGAGCAATCGAGCTAGATAAATGCCCCTTTTGATGACCCGCCGACCCGACATTGTTTTTGTGTTATGTTTTAGTACAAATTCGCGTATGTGTATAGTATTGGTAAAAGGCGCGTTCTGCACTAAACCAAATTTCACTGAACGTAATGCCCGAGTGGTCTTACAATGCCAAGCACCTTTGATGTGGTGATGGCTCTCTCCTTTGGCGGGAGATGCTATGGTGGAAACGAGATGGTGCAACCAGTTCGAAAAGTTCATCTGAGCACTCGTCATAATAAAGACGATAAAACACACACGGACGTGGGTAAAGTGGAGCTGGGCAGGGCACCTAATACAGAACTTGATGACAGACAGAGTAAGGCGATAACTGAGTGGCGTCCAAGGACTGTACACGGGAACATCGGGCGTCCAGGAGCGAGATGGGCCGACGACATCGCAGGAATTGCGGGGCGAACCAGGGATGAGATTAGCACGGGACCGTGAGGAGTGGCACAAAAACTTGGAGGCCCATACCCAGCTGTGGGTGAAGCCAGGCTGTATATGATGATGATGATAAAAATACACATAGAGAGCCAACGTCTCTCCGTCGACTAAGGGACTCCAAACCGCCTGTGAGTTTGGAATCATCGACAACAACAGCCTCTTTGAAAACTACGGTTTTACATAATTATTGTCTCTATTTGCAAATTTTCTTTTTTCTTTTTTCGACTATCGACTGTCCTGCATTGAGGAAGGCAGATAACGGGCCTCCACAGGCCATTAT